TGTTGCATGTATCATACGTTGCAAATGATCAATATGTCGCCGCGCGACGCGCAGCAGGTCTTTGCGGAGACCTGCCCCGTGGTCACGCTTCACTCGTTTGTTTCTTTGATATTGTGGGCCGCCATATGACTTTTGCATCTGTGAGTTACTGTGTGCTATGGGCCTGGCTTTACCCCATCCTGCATGCTCCACACGCGTTACCTCAAGCCGAAGTCTACGAGCTCGAGCCAGAAGTGATGACTGTAAGATTGCATTGCACCTCTACGAAGATGACATCCAGAACATCCTTCTATGCCATATAAAAACCAAGAAATGCCGCCCAAACTAGTCCGGTAGATTCCAAGAGTAAACCTTGCCTGAATCCTCGCCGTGGTACAGGCTCTCCCTATGCCAGTGTTAGTTTGCGTGCCAGACAGAAGTCGAGGAGATACCCACCCAACAAAACGCAAAGCTGTGATACAAGGCAGAGCACCACGAGGCGCAGCGGCACCGTCTGGAGTCTTCACCTTCACCTTCTTCAACGTGACAAACTTCCAGACAGCCTTCTCGCCCTCGGGCGTGTTGTCCGTGTTCCACGTCCGCAGTGTTATGGTTCCGTCGGGTGAGCCCGTCGCCAGGACTGGCAGCTTCGAGAACTCGCGCTCGTGGAAAGCCATGCTTGCGATCGGTGGGTAGATCGGCGAGCCCGGGATGTCGCGCAGGTCGAGCATTGCGATGGGCCGCGCGTTGATCGTGTGCAGCCAGAGCTTTTCTTGCGAGCAGGTGGCGATGTAGCCCTGCGGTAGGCGCGTGAATATCGACCATGAATAAAATAGCACATAACGACGTACCAAGCTCTCTTGGATGGCAGCCAGGTGGACGGCGTGGGCAGGGCCTTCGCCGTGCCATATCGATCGCACGTGTATCCCTCTGTTCAGATCCCAGAGACCTGCGCTCCCATCTCGAGAGCCGGACACTACCAATGACCATGCCCTTGACGCAGCGATGCACGATACAGGCGCAGAGTGTCCACGCATGATGTGCGTCAGGTTAACGTTCAGTGGAGGCTCCGACTTATGACCACCCGGCGAGGCTCGAGACAGCTTCCAAAGCCGGACAGTGTAGTCGGTAGAGCCCGTGACAAGTGTCTCTGAGTCCGCGAACGCAGCGCATGAGCAGAGCGCAGACTCGACGACCTGCGCGGTCTTCCTATCTACCTGTACACGGAGCTCACCCGCAGGGATGTGCGGAGGGTCCCATTCAATCACCTCGTGTGGGCGCGACGGAACAGCCAGAGAGCCTAGCGGGCATGGAATGATTCTCTCTCCAATCAAGTCAATTACAAGATTGGAGACGGGCTTTCCGATGTCTACGACTCATGTTAGAAAAACTAACATGAGTAAAGATGGAAGCACTTACCCCTCGTTACGCGAGTGTTTTGAGAGAGCAGATGGTAGTCTTCCGAGATACCATAGATGTTGCCGATGGGTAGCGTCGAGGCACCGTGCATCATTCTATCAGGATGTGCAGAGTTGAACAGCTTTCGGGGTGTTTGACCGACTAAGACACTTGTCAGTACTATATGCGTGATCAGAGTGCTAATGCTCACAATTGTGTATGATCCCGACGGTCGCCTCTCGTTCCAGATCGTCGGTAATGGCATCTAGGTCTGTTTTTTGATTAGTCTGTGTAAATTTGCACGACATTTAAAGACTATACCAATGGAGCCCTCGTAACTCAAAGGATGGAAGGCATTGAACGAGTCAGGGTCTCGCTGCTTGTACCCCCAGATCAAGTCGATCCATGTCGGAAGATTCCTGCTGACATAGTCGCTCTCCAGGGCTTGCCGATTGAGGGTAACGAACAACAGAGGATCCTGTTTCGCCCAAGGAGGCAGCTTGACGTGGTGGATCCGCTCGCCAGTGTTCTGTTGAATGCCGAAGTCAAGATTCGCAGAGTTCTCCAGGAACCTGCGGCCATAGCGATAAATATGCATGATACCACGAATAGAAGCATACGTACTCGGGGCAGGTATAGAACTCAGGTATCAGTTCTCTTACATCTCCCCGTAAGTCTTGCGACGCAGACTCATATGCGCGCTTCATGTCGCTAGCACCCATCTCAGAAAGCATTTTCACCAACAAACCTGGTGGACGCACCTGAAAAGACGATCCGGAAGGTCCCAATCGCCTCCCTGCATCGTTCAGCACCCGGGCCGTTCCCAGTCAGAGAGCACTTACCTGCAACGTCTTGAACATATGCGTGAACGGCTCCATGCGGATCAGGAAATGGCACACAATCATCGACGAGCTAAAATGTGTTCCGTAGTGGAACGGCTTCTCGTCGACACTTTTGAGCGCGCTGTACCTAGCCGCTGCCGCTTCCTGCCTGGCCTCTGTCAGAGCGCCCATAGGCCTTGTGAGACTGGACAAAGCGGGTTAACAATAAGATAGCGAGGCCACCAGCATGACGTACTCTCTGAAAGTCTCTTCTGAGTTAAGGTTCAAGACACTCGATGAGTAGTCGCTGATAATCCATGCTACACCTCTGTTAGTGACATTCCGCTTAGAGTTTGAGTAAAACTTACGGAAGACCGGATATTGCGTCGCGTCGCTGGGAGTCCTGCCAGAGACTTGGTTGAGAATACCAATGTACGTGAACTGGTGAAATATGCATGAGCAACTCATACATGGGTGATGCAGTCTGTAATAGCTCACGTTGGATATTTCCCTTGCCTGCCACTTCCTCTGCGCGGTCGAAAGCTCGTCTGCTCTGAATCCCATGAGAGCTCCGCCACTAACAGTACCGCTTATCCTTGCACTGAGACGGCTGACGATTGGTGAATTCAAGATCGCAGGCGTAAGGCCCCCTGGAGTAAGACTGTTCCCGTAACGTACGCCGCCAGACGTGATGTTGTTAAGCCTCTGGGCCATCGCCTGTCTCTTGTCCTTGCTTGTGAAGACGACGAGAAGAGACCTGCTGTCCTTGAAGTACATCTCGAGCCTAGGGAGCGATTAGACTATGAGATCGAAAAATCGAAAACACGTACGCTACATCACGGAATAAAAATGTCCTCTCGCTGAGGCTTGCGACCTCGTCGAACGGCCATCGTTGTGCACTCTGCGAACTACTCATGTCGGTGGTAGTTCCCGGTATGAGGAACATTTCCTTCGGCGCATCTGAGGCGTCTATAACTTCCCCGTCGCCGTTCTGCACGAGGCCATCCATCATGTACAAATGAGTACGGCCGAAAATTAGAAGACCAGCTACACGCAAGCATATGAATAGATGTTTCCGAAAATGGGACAGATGAGACGCACGGAATGAGTCTATACCAGATATCCGTGCGACAGTGTCAACAGCCTCTATGACATCGCCTGCTTCGAGTTCGTGCCGTACTCTGCGATGTTTGTCGTCCAGCACTTCTTCCTCCAAAAAGCGGTCTGCGACGCACAACATGAAATCCAGTAGCAACAATGATGAAAACCATGCACATACCTTCTGCACTAGCTGAGATCTCGTAAGATTCAGCCCATGGAGGCGTCACGACTTGAATGACAGATTGGACATCAGAAGACGGTTCTTGAATCTTCAAATGCTGCAACTTCTTGTCGACCTGAGACAGGAAGATCCTTTCCTGCTCAGGCTCTAATTTTTTCCTAGCACGAAATAAGCAAGCGACGTCCGACTAAGGCAAATGTACATACCTGACGCGATATGGGCCCTCAGTCTCATCAAGCCTCCACTTGCGATCTGTCTCTGGAGGTGCCCACAAGCCACGTTCAGTCGTGAGGACGGTAGCCCACTCGGTCAACCGTGATATCTGACGCCTTTGTTCTCGCCTGCAAATCTAGCCTTAGCAACTATCCACTAGCGCGAACCAACAGCACTGACAAATCGAGGATGTTCTTGCGCAGCCGTTTCCGTTCGGTCGCCGTGACATTCTTCCTCCATTCCTGAATTTTCGTGTTCGACCGCTGGACTGTACGCTCACCGAGCTGAAGACTGAATCTCGTCGACTGGCGTCGCCCTTGCTTTGGTCGTGCTGGGAGGATCGCGCTCGGATTGATGCCCGACTGTGGAGTCGTACTTGGATGAAGGATGACCTCGGCTGTCTGGACGGTCTCGAGAATCTATGCATCATCATGAGCAACAGCCGCGACTGCCAACAAGTGCGGATATTACCTCCTTCCGCTGAGGAACGGCGACAGTATCATCCAAGGAGATGCTCAATGCGAGGTGGCTGAGCTTTTCAAGCACCCATACGACGATGTTGTCAAGCTGCTCCAGACCAGGAATGGCCGTGACGAAGGACTTGAAGGCGTCAATGAATGTCTGCGTTGTCACTTGAGAGCGGAAGGCTTGGCGGAAGGTTAGACTGAAGGAGTGTATCTTGATTAATTCCTCGAGCAAGCTGTTGGCATACACCCCAGCCTCTCCATGAGCTAGACACGTCGTAAGTATGAGTGATTCGGTATATGCCACAGACACCAACCGTGAATATCATGATGCAAATGGCTCGCCCCCGAGAGAATGTCCAGCTCGTATTTGAGGCAGGACAAGATCACAGGAAGCATGCTAGGGCACACGACCGCCAACTCAGCGCTCTGCGAAGAGTATGCGCCGCCGAGCAGGACATCAAACGCTGCAGCCTGCACGCTCGGCGACCACGCTTGCGGCAGCGCAATCTTGAGCGTGATCCACCCACTGACGAGCTCGAATTTCCTGCTGAACGACGTGCTGACCTTCAGGCTCGACTCGATGAGGCGAAGAACGTGAGTAGCGACAGCGGACGAAGGCTTGTCGCCGAGGAGCAGCAGACAGATCCGTGTCAGAGGAAGTGCAGAGGTGAATTTGATGAACGCGTTCGGAGTTTGCTGTAGGGTCAATACAAGTGCCTCAAAGACGAGTTCGGCCCTCAGACGGGACTCGCTTGGGTCCAGTCGCAGGAGAGGCGATTGTGGCAAGCCAGACTCAGGTAGATCTAAAGAACCTGTCTTCGTCAAGCTCCCTCCTCGTACAACGCAAGACATACCTGGGTGAAGATTGGCAGCCAAATAAGCGACGGTCGGCTTGATCACGTCTTCCGTGGAGAATTGCGCCTCAGCAACAACCTTCAACGTCTCGATTAGCCATGGCACCGACTCTGATGTGTACCAATCCGTCTGGAGGGCGAATATGAATTTGCGAACAATGTTCATCTTGCCGAGGCGTTGCTTGATGTTGAACTTCTTGTACTTGCTCGTGCGAAGGAGCATCGAGAATTGCTCCATGTGCGCCTGCTGGATCTCGGCCTTTGTCTGCGCCCAGAGGTGCAAGTCGAGTGCGATAGCGCGGTAGGCCACAGTATTGATCACGGTGGATTGGCTGGAGTATAAGTTTGTCAGCAATCGCCCGATGGCATAGTAGAATGACATACTCAGGATATCGGAAGCTGAGTCCCAAGAATTCAAACAGCGTCTCGAAACTGGTCATGTTGATCAGCTGGCTCTTTTGTCGTAGCATGTCGGCAAGAACTTCATAGCCACCTAGAGAAACCGTCGGGTTTACACATAGGAACATGGAAGCAAGGCGGCTCACGAATCCGCTCCATGTCATCCGAGTTCTGCCAGTCGTTGCGGAGCCCTCCAGCTAAAATAGCAAGCGTGCGGGACAGCTCATGAGGGCTCTGTAGCGCTACATAAACGTACAGCCATTTCCAACCCGACGTTACTCACCTGCGTAAGCTGTATCAGCTGCAACGGCAGCGCTGCGCCTCCAAGTCTCCACATCGACAGGTCCAGCGACACATTTCTGACTGTGATGACGTCCCCGTCCAAGATCACCCTCAGCCCCCGGTCGTTCTGCAGGATGTCAAGCTGGTCCGTGCTCTCGGAGACATGCATGTTGCACACCGACGGCGTGAGCACGAAGAAGATCGCGTCGGGGTTGATCCCGAGCCCGTTCTTGATGAGCGTGCTCATCGCCGAGGGCTTCTTCGACTGCGCGACACTCGTGAGGAAGATGCTGAGCGACGTCGCAGCCTCGTAGGTCATGAATTTGGCGAGGTCGGACGCTTGGAAGTGGCCGGCATAGCGTGGACCGAGGTGCTGGATAAAACGCGGGATGTCGTCACCTAGTCACAGAGGTAAGTACGACACGCTGCAGCGTAAAAGAGGTAAAGATAATCACCTAGAGGGCTCGAGAGGAAGTATGCAGAGGCAAGAGCCCAGCTCATGCTTGCGGTCTCGGTAGCGTCACCGACCGTGTACACGCCGTCTTTCGAGCTGCCCTCGGCACGCGGGTATTGCCAGTTCATTGCATCACTTAGGACACCATCAATGAAGAGACCTGATGGCATTTTAAGGGAAGCACGAAGGACGAAGAAATAAAGACTACAAACGGACTGTTGGCGCCGAGGCCCTGTGTGGGTAGTGCACCAGCGTGAGATGTGTCCACCGAGCAGGTTGCAGCCTAGATTTGAAGTTCGGCAGCTCTCTCGCCACATTGCTTCTGCAGCCGAGGACACCATCGGGATAGATCTGCATCGAGAACACGGGCGACCCCGCCACGACGAACGAGAACAAACTCTGCGGCTTCTCGACAGGA